TGCTAGCCACTTTTATCTGTGTGTGGCATGTGATCATTGTCACTGGTGGAGCCCCTGTTTGGCTGTGCTGTTTGCAATTATTTAGCAGATATTGATAGTCTTGCCATCCTCCTCTCCCTTAAGTCTTTTCTTGTTCTATGTAAACTGCATCCTATGTTGAATTAATGGTGTTAACAGAGAAATCTGAGGGCTCCCTTGGACAAACAAACAAGGACACCAGCCAGGAATACCAGAGCAAAACAGCAGCCAGTAGGCTTGGTCTTTATTGAAGACTGTTGCGACAGGACTCCCACCTGTCACAAGCTGGAACAAGATGGAAGCCCCGAACAAAAGAGCCCCCAAACTTTTATTAGATGCTAATCCCCATGTTACACCCCCCCGCAAACCACATCACGGTTACATCATGAAAGGGGAGGTCTGGTGGCAGTAATCTGAGCATCCTGGGCCCTGCCCCCTGGTTCTCCTTGCCCTCCACCAGACACCCATCAAGTGTAACAAAAAAGATATTTACATTTCCCTGTTTCCCAGCCAAGTTAATCACACCCTTTTGTTTTCATCTGGGTTTGTTATTTCTGGAATGGCTACCTCTCTAGCACTCAGGTATCAGGATGCCAGGAATTATCATTCAGGCAGAGGGGCTTGCTGAGTAGCTGAGCTCACATGTCTATGTGAATTTCTGAATTCCCAGTTTTCCCAGTGAGCCAGTACATAGATACATTTATCAGTAAATTGTTACATTTGGTATCATGCAGTAAAGGCCCTTTGAATAGATAGGAAGAAACTGTGATGAAGTGTTTTGTGGGGACAAATCACAAAAGTCACAAAAGCAATTGAGCTGGTTTTGGTAGTGGGCTGCATCTGCATGATATCTGCTGGAGAGGCAAATTCCTGCAACAATGGCCATGCTGGACCTGGTCTCAACATGAGTATAGGCTTGCTTGGTGAAACTTCCTCTATTTTAATATACACACGGAACGCTTAATCCCAGGGTTGTGGGTTTGCGCCTCACATTGCAGTGGGGTGGACTAGATGGCGCCTGCAATTCTTTCCGACTCTACAATCCTATGACCCATAGGTGTTTTATGGGTTTTGCTGTCCACACATTCCTGTGTCCCAGATTTTGCTTTATTGCTTTCACTCGGAGATTGCATTTAGAATTGCCAGCTTCTGAGCTTCCCCCATAGTTGTGTGATCACCACTCTTGGCTGCTGATAAAGCTTATCTCAAGGCCTTGAAGTGTAACCTTGCCTGATAATTTCTGCTGTTCAAGCTAACAGTGTAAGAGCAGGCCATGTTAGGGGTCCTGCCAGGGTCATATAGTCTCATTGCACTCATTAGAAAATGTGGTATGGATAATTTTTAAGTACATGATGTATCTGATTTGGGTTTGCCCAAAGAAAGGGAAAGTACATATATTTTATCAAATAATATAGATTTCTGACCCTCTTCCAATTTGATCCTATGCATGTTTGTTTAATAGTAAACCTCAAAGATTGAAAGGGTTTTTATTTTTTTAAATATAATTTTTATTAAATTTTCTGTTTTACACTTTAGAATATGCATTTAAACAACCTTAAAATGGCAATGACGTCCCTTCTTCTCTTCCCATGGTTCATTTTGCATATCATAAATCCCTGCACATTTTACATAAACCAAACCCTTCAGTATTCCATTATTACATCCAACAAAACTGTTGGATCTATCTCAATGCTGCCAACGTTTTCAGGCGTACACAATTCCCCTCATATATTCGATAAACATTTTCCCATCTTCTTTAAACGTATGTTCGTCTTGTTCTCTTATTCTATATGCTAGGTCCGCAAGCTGCGCATATTCCATCAGTTTAAGTTGCCATTCTTCTTTAGTTGGGACCTCGTTTTCCATTTTTGGGTAAGATTGAAAGGGTTTTTAGTCCCAAGCTACCACATGTTGAATCCCACTTGAGCTATAAAAGGTAAAGGTACCCCTGCCCGTACGGGCCAGTCTTGCCAGACTCTAGGGTTGTGCGCTCATCTCACTCTATAGGCCGGGAGCCAGTGCTGTCCGCAGACACTTCCAGGTCACGTGGCCAGCGTGACAAGCTGCATCTGGTGAGCCAGCGCAGCACACGGAACGCCGTTTACCTTCCCGCCAGTAAGCGGTCCCTATTTATCTACTTGCACCCGGGGGTGCTTTCGAACTGCTAGGTTGGCAGGCGCTGGGACCAGTGCAATCCTATATCTGTTTAATAGTGAATCCCAATGAGTCCAAGGGCTCTCAGTCCCAAGTAACTACAGCCAACACAGTCTGTGTATTGTTAGTTGGAAGCAAGTATCCCTGACTTCAGTGGTACATACTTTAGACCTGCCCAGTATGCCCTGAAATACATATTTTATTTTTTATTTCATTTATATTCCACCCAAGACCTCAAGGTGGCATCCATAGTTTTCCGTTCCTATCACCCCCACAACAACCCTGTGAATGAGGTTAGACTGAGAAACTGTGACTGGTTCACGGTCACCCAGTGGACTTCATGCTGGAGTAGGGATTTGAACCCAGGTCTCCCAGGTCCGTGCCTGACACTCTAACCACTGCACCACACTGTTGTTGATGATGATAATGCAATTCAACCTGGCTTTTTGACAGCATAGAGATTAATGATGCTACCTTGACAATATCTACAACTATAAAGGCAGTGTCCCATTGAAAAGCTGGAAACCTTGACTTAATGTTGCCATCATGGAAGGACTTTGGGGAAGATGTCCCAGGTCTCACTGAGCAGAATGAGCAAGAGGGTTCTGTAATAAACGAAAATCTGCCCTTCTTCCCTTATGGGGGACACAAGAGCCCTTATAGAGTCCTTTGCAGGTTCTCCATCGGTCGGAGAAAATAACAGAGGCCAACCAGAGAATATTGAGAAGCAAAGCAGCTAGTAAGCCTGATCTTATTTGAACTGTTGCAACAGGGTGCCCGCTTCACACTCAGGAGAAGGAGGAGGACCCCGAACAAAGGTGTGCCCACCCCACCCTTATATAGACATTTTAAATTGCCCGCCCTGGAGTTCAAGACCACCCCCAGATACATCATACCTACATCACAGAAAGGGCGGTCTACAACAGAAATCTGAGTGCGTTGTTTACCTCCTGTCTGGCAGGTTACCTGCTAATGCTTACTTGATTGGATACCCTGGGGAACCTGGCCAGTCTTTTGTAATGATAAATACTTAGTTCCTGAGCCAGGTCACAGGCTCACCCTGTTCATACACAGACATACCCTTAAGACAGGATTTGTGAATGAAAAGACAATGGGGAGGCTTTTCCATTTTCCTTGACCTTGCAGAGAAATCATTTGGGCAGTTTGGGAGTCAAAATGGTTTCAGGGCTGTTTTCCTGTGCTGCTTCAGACGTGTGGTTTATATATTTATGTATGTGTTTGCTTGGTACATTTATGAACATTTATAATATATATAAGACCTTAATTTTTTTATTTCAATTCAAAACACAGCAGGGCTGGCATATCATATTTTGAAGCAAGTGGACTAATACACAACACCATCTAAAGAGAAAGGAGGCCCGTGAGGACCATTTAGCCCCGCGTCTAAACCTGGCATCCCCAACCTTCGGCCCTCCAGATGTTTTGGACTACAATTCCCATCATCCCTGACCACTGGTCCTGTTAGCTAGGGATCATGGGAGTTGTAGGCCAAAACATCTGGAGGGCCAAAGGTTGGGGATGCCTGGTGTAAACTTACCCAACCACATTACTATCAGCAGAATCCTAACGTCTACTCAGAAGCAAAACCCTATTAAATTCAATGGAGCTTACTCCTAGGTTTGTAAAGTGACAACCACAGCCTAAACTGAGCATGATTTAGGATTGCTGTTTTAACCAGCAGCTTCTGGCACACCAAAATCCAAGAAGTAAAGGAGGGTATTCACAGAACTGTAGGGTTGAAAGGGACCATGAGGGGGTCATAACCAGTGCTTTTTTTCTTTTAAAAAAAATGTTTAGGGGAACTCTTATTTTCCTAGGTAAAGGTACCCCTGCCCGTACGGGCCAGTCTTGCCAGACTCTAGGGTTGTGCGCTCATCTCACTCTATAGGCCGGGAGCCAGCGCTGTCCGAAGACACTTCCGGGTCACGTGGCCAGCGTGACAAGCTGCATCTGGTGATCCAGCGCAGCACACAGAAACGCCGTTTACCTTCCCGCTATAAAGCGGTACCTATTTTTCTACTTGCACCTGGGGGTGCTTTCAAACTGCTAGGTTGGCAGGCGCTGGGACCGAGCGACGGGAGCGCACCCCGCCGCGGGGATTCGAACCACCGACCTGACGATCGGCAAGTCCTAGGCGCTGAGGCTTTAACCCACAGCGCCACCCGCGTCCCTCTTATTTTCCTACTCATATTGAAATAGTGCCCCCCAATGAGGCCAAACGTAGATTCACAAAATATTTAGGGGTACGCGTCCCCCTGCGTCCCTCCCAGAAAAAAAGTTCCTATATCTAAAAGAACATTGTCCCCACGTCAAATCTTTAATATGCTTTGATTACCTCTTGTAATAACTCAAGTTAAAAAGAATATAAACAACATGCAATATTGGTTAAGTTTATTGAAAAACAGATGCAGTTAACAAGGAAATAAAGGACCCAGGCAGAGGAGGTCGGAAGTCATCAGGCAGAGAAGAAACTAACTTTATTGTTTCCTTTTCGAGATACATTGTCCTTTTTGCTATTGGTGGTGGTCTGCTTGTACAGTAATGCTTTGGTATTTTGGTGTTGCAAGTGGTTTGGATGTATTGTTTATAAACCAATAAAGATTAAATTGAAAATAATAATAATTTAGTCAAGTTCACCTACTCCGCGTTAGAAAGTTTCTCCCCTCACCTTAAAGGAGGGGGAAAAACTTCACCTGTTGAATTTCCGCCTGGTATTCTAGGCAGAAATTCTGCTGGAACAACAGAAGCAGGGCCAGCAAGAAAGCGGCAGGACAAGCACACTTTCTGCGGCTTGCAAAACCTCCGCTTCCCCCTGCTTCCTCCCTCCGAGACCGCCCCACGGAGGAGCCGCCGCCTCTCCGGGCCCTGCGCGCAGGAGAGCGCCCGGGCGACGCTTGCAGCCTTTGCGCTTCCAGTCCGGCTGCTCCAGGTGCTTCTTCCGCCTTCACCTGCGTGCCTGGCCAGCTAGCCCTTTGCAGGAGCGCCTCTCCAAGCCCAGCTAGCAAATCAGAAGGAAGGAGTGGCGGAGAGAAGGAAAAGAAAAGAGAAAGCGAGCGTAAAGTTCAGCTCCTCGCTTCCTGCCGGATCCGAATTCTTGGGGTAAGTTTGCAAGAAAGGGGGCGGGTGGACTTGGGTTAAAAAGAAAGAAAAAAGGGGAAATGAAAAACAAAAAACCACCGCCAGGTTGTTCTGGCAGCGAGTCCCCCCCCCCCAATGTTTGGGGAGTTTTCTTGGAATCCGACCTACTTCCTTAACCTCTGTCCCGGGAAATGCTGACTTGCGTTTAACCCGTGGGATTGCCGCAGAGGGAAACATACACTTAATCCCTCCGTTTCGCGTTTACATTCTTACGTTTCCATCGGAGGGTCTGAAAAGTCGCTCACTTTAACGAGACGAATGCCGCAATTAATGAGAAGCGGCAGCTTGTTTACAGTGATGTTGCAGATGGTCTAATTTAGGGCACGGCTGAGGGATTCAGTCAACTTTGCGGTGCGGAATTGCAAAACTATTAGTGTTAAATGAGCCATAGATTAGCAGCCATTGGGCAATATAGGAAATTTAGATTTCTACATAAAAATCTGGATTTCCCCCTCAAAATTTGCACGCACTAATGAGTCCTCTGTTTACTTTTATTAACTGTGCTTGGAGTATAGCTGCTTGATTTAGAGCGTTCAAGCTCTTTGCATACCTAATATCAGTACCTTTTACAACAAGCCTGTGAGGTAGGAAAGATGCTGTGATTATCCCTAAACTGTAGGGAAAAGCTGAAGGTTAAGAAAGCAGCCTGAGAGTTCATGGCTTAGTTCAAAGGCACTCTAAAGCAAGATTTTACAATGATTTCTAGAGCTGCTACCTTTTTGAAATATACTTTTATTGAGCCCCTTCATGTGTAGAATTTTCCACCCTACTTTTGGAAATCTAACAGATGAAGCTTTTCCTTATGTGAAGGGAAAGATAGAGGAACGGGGCAATTAAAATAAGTTGGCGGCTCCTGCTTCTGGTATTTGCACGTTGGGCAGTGAGGTAACAACAAATAGGATTTGCAAGTCGCAGCACGTCTCTCCAACCATCTTGGAGACTTGTTGCAATTGGTGTATCTGAAAACTGAACACAGTTCTGCTCTGACGGGCTGATGGCGGCCTGGGCTTAATTTATTTTGTGGTTCTCCAGGGCTCATCCATGGCATCTGCTTATGGCACTGCCATAATAATAATAATAATAATAATAATAATAATAATAATAATAATTTTTATTTATATCCCACCCTCCCCAGCCGAAGCCGGGCTCAGGATGGCTAACAACAATAAAATAGTACAAAATTCTAAAATCATTCATTATAAAATTAATTCAAATCAAATTGATGGCAACCATTGGGCTAGAGATTCTGTGAAGATTGCCAGAGGAGGGAGTCAGGCTGTGCCCTGGCCAAAGGCTTGGTGGAACAGCTCTGTCTTGCAGGCCCTGCGGAAAGATGTCAAGTCCCGCAGGGCCCTGGTCTCTTGTGACAGAGCATTCCACCAGATCGGAGCCACAGCCAAAAAAGCGCTGGCTCTAGTTGAGGCCAGCCTAACCTCTCTGTGGCCTGGGACCTTCAATATGTTTTTATTTGAAGACCGTAAGTTCCTCTGTGGGACATACCAGGAGAGGCGGTCCTGTAGGTACGAGAATACAGTATGGATATATGAAAGTGTTCTTGAGGATGTGCAGAGTGATATTTTTATTGAGTCTCCGCATTGCTGTTTCTACATACTATCTTTGGGGAGTGGAGGCTGTATTCTCAAAACGTTATTTATTTGTATGTGAACCTGTTGTACTGAGCAGTACCATTCATAAGAGATATAGGTACAGAGAGCTCAGCCTACAGTTTTGCTGCACACTGTGGCAGCACTTAAGCAATCTCCGCTCTTGAGATGAGTTGCTGCTTGTTCACAGAGTGCCGTCTCTTTAATTCTTGTTTGTTCCTCTTCAGGGATTAGTTTCCCTGGGATTTCTTTCAACATGTTGCCCTGCTCAGAGGCCACAAATATCAGCCCCCTTGACATGTTTTGAAAGTCAGAGGAAATGCTTAACAGTGCAATCGTACACATGGCAGGTCTACTCTGAATAAAGTCTTATTGAGCTGAATGAGGCTTATTCCCAGGTAAGTATATAAAACTCCCATATCATTGTCGTAGGCACCCTGTTCATTGAGAAATACATCTCAGTATTTAGCTTGCATCAACATGTGGTTGTTGTAAGCTCTTTCTCATGGGACAGATAAGACCTTTATTAATAAACACCTTGAATCAGGATGTGGGTGGTATATTTTGGGTTGCTGACAGGCCTGAGACCAATAGAGCAATCCCTTTGCAGATGTTCCTCTAGGGTTAAGTCCAGTCAAAGGTGACTATGGGGTTGTGATGCTCATCTTGCTTCAGGCTGAGGGAACCGGCGTTTGTCCACAGACAGCTTTCTGGGTCATATGTCCAGCATATAAAGATTTGCTGCCCATTTTTTAAGGCATTAAGTGGAGGTAACCCGTAAGTTTGTGTCTCTTTTCCTGGCTGCATCATTCCATGCTATAGATGTCTCTGTGGTGTTTGAACCAAGAATTCACCCATTTTCTTCTCCTCGCTATTGGGGCCACACGTGTGAAATGGGAACTGCTCATCCAGAGTATAATCATAATCATAATTTATTATTTGTAACCCCACCCATTTGACTGGGTTGCCCCAACCACTCTGGGCAGCTTCTAACACATATAAAAAACATAATAAAACATTACACGTTAAAAGGCTTCCCTATACAGAGCTGCCTTCAGATGTCTTCTAAAAGTTATATAGTTACTCATCTCTGTGACATCGGACGGGAGGACATTCCACAGGTGGGTGCCACTATCAAGAAGGCCCTCTGCCTGGTTCCCTGTAACTTCACTTCTTGCAGTGAGGGAACTGCCAGGAGACCCTCAGAGCTAGATCTTGGTGTCTGGATTGAATGACGGGGTGGAGATGCTCCTTCAGGTATAGAGGGATGTGGGTGCTACTGTGGACTAAACCACTGAGTCTCTTGGGCTTGCCGATTGGAAAGTTGGTGGTTCGAATCCCTGTGATGGAGTGAGCTTCCGTTGCTCTGTCCCTGCTCCTGCCAACCTAGCAGTTCGAAAGCACACCAGTGCAAGTAGATAAATATGTATTGCTGTGGTGGGAAGGTAAATGGCCTTTCCGTGTGCTCTGGTTTCCATCACGGTGTTCCGTTGCACCAGAAGTGGTTTAGTCCTGCTGGCCACATGACCCGGAAAGCTGTCTGTGGACGAACGCCGGCTCCCTCGGCCTGAAAACAAGATGAGCGCCACAACCCATAGTCGCCTTTGACTGGACTTAGCTATCCAGGGGTCCTTTACCGTTTTTACTTACCTGCTCCTTCAGGTATACTTGGCCAAGGCCATTTAGAGCTTTAAAGGTCAGCACCAACACATTGAATTGTGCTCGGAAACGTACTGGGAGCCAATGTAAGACTTTCAGGATCAGTGTTACATGCTCCTGGTGGCTGCATGTTTTACTGAGCAGTCCTAATTTTGAACACCTGTACATAGGATAGTGCTAACCGGGTGATTTTGGAGAGCTGATTGCAATGGCATGGTATGCAACTCTAAAATCTACTAGACTCCTCAGTCAACACATCTGCTTGGGTCACTCTCTGGACTGATTGCCTAACTCATTTTCTACTTCATGTACTTGTCACATGGACATGGGAGTTAGTCATTGCCAGCATTTGAATGTCACCTGCATGACTAACACGTTCCCAGATAGTTGCCAACACTGTGACCAAGCGAGGACTGATAGAAGCCCAAGTGTTGCTTCACTCACTGATAACTGTTGGCCCAAGGACTTGCGATGGGTGGTGGAGGGTGTTTTGTTGGGTGGTCTAAGGGCAGTGGAGCAGCTCTGTTAGGCTAAAGCAGGGTTTCCCAAACTTGGCTCTCCAGCTGTGTTTGAACTACAGATCCCACCATCCCTGACCACTGGCCCTGCTAGATAGGGATGTTAGGCATTGTAGTCCAAAAAGAGAGCTGGGGACCCAAGTTTGGGAAACTGTGGAAGCAAGGGCCTTTCTCTGAGAGTTAAGCAAAGCAATATAAAGCTGCCTCATCCATAATAGTAATAATAATTAATTTATTATTTGTACCCAACCCATCTGGCTAGGTTTCCCCAGCCACTCTGGGTGGCTCCCAACAAAATATTAAAAACACAATAAAACATAAAACATTAAAAACCTCCCTAAACGAGGGCTGCCTTCAGATGTCTTCTAAAAGTCAGATAGTCAAATGCACATTGCAGATTATCATAGAGACATCTACCTTACTTTAATATAACATGGAATGAATGGTGGAGTCTTAAGTCATTGCCCTTGTGTGGCTGACAGAAATTTAATAATAATAATAATAATAATAATAATAATAATAATAATAATAATTTTTATTCTTTGTACCCTGCCCATCTGATTGGGTTGCCCCAGCCACTCTGGGCCGCTTCCAGCATATACAAAAACATAATACTGTATGTACTTGCTCTGCTCCAGGGAAAGGGCTGAAATGGAAGACCTTCCTATCCTTTCCCTCTTGCTTTTATTTTACGAAAATGGTGGTGGTCAGAGATAATGTGTGGTGGTACTGCTGGCATAGAGAGCACTGTGTTCCTCTTGTTTTTCTCAACATGAGAACTAGATAATGCACAATCACCAAGGAATCAGACTCGCAGGGGTATAGCAGGAGTTTCTACCTGACGTCATCTGGGAGCATCTTCTGCATTCAAATGTGCTTGCCAATGGACCACACATTCCAAAGCATAACTGACGCTGTTTCTTTTCTTTTTTAAAAAAAGTTTTTGATTGCTAACTTCACCTAATTGGCAGTCACCTTTCGACAGGCAGGTTTTAGCACCTCTTGGAAGCAGGCCCCAACCTGTTCATGTGAATAGGTGCAGGAACATAAATTGCAGCTTTGAAAGCTCCAGAACTGTATTGTTGTGTTTGAGGGCCCCTGAGCGCATTTAAATGAAATCTAGCTTTCATCTGTGTTGAAAGACTTCTTTACTTTACAGTGGTACCTCGGGTTAAGTACT